CTTCATAAAATTTTTACAGTTTTCTTTAGTTTTTAATTTTTGTGCCACTGTTGAGCGCCAAGTTAAGTGTTGTTCTCATAATAATCAAAACCAAGTGATTCACCTTCAGATATAACAGTACTCAACTATTGGTATGGTATGGTTTTATTTTAGTGATGTTATGAAAAGTTCCTATGATTGCTGCAGAATGCATAATGCTTTAGACAGTAGTTCTAAAACATACATATCTGGCTATGCATTTGATAGCCTGGGGAACTTCAATATATTGTTGGAATGTGAATTTCGTCAAATCACCACCTTATAGTAAAACCTGAACTATTGACCTGTCTTTGAATTGGTTGACCAGTGATGACATTATTGTTTTCAGAATTCTGGAAAACAGTCAGAAAATTAATTCTCATTCTGGCTTTGGTGCAGATTAGATCTTTGAGACTTTTTGTATATTTAATTTTTAAACTTCGGGTTTAAGTATACTTTTACCTGTTATCATGGTGCTATACAGGGTCTTCGTGTAAACTCTACCATCAAGCTGCTGGATCTTGTGAAGACTAATCTTACCATTAGGCTTGTGGAAGCAGATGTTCCTTCAGCATCTATATTGATGGACGTGAACAGACCCTATTTTCTGGATCAATACACCCTTTTGAGTACGAAAGTGAAGACGAGATGTTAAAGAACACAACTCGACTTTTGACTTCCCAAAGTTATTTGGATCTGTGTTGAAAGATTTAATACCTTCAACCTCGCCCTTCAGTAGTTCTTGTGTTTTACCTTTACCTTCACCTGAACCAGATACCATCTGTCCCAGGTATTTCTACCAAAAAGAGGGCGTTAAATGTAGAAGTAGGCTACTTGCCCATCCAGAGAGTGTCATGAGGAGATATGTCAATGATGAACCTTCATGGAGCATGGCCACTGTCTCTACCCAGAAATGTCTGGAGCTTCTGGTGGTAATTACCACCACCCCAGTGCTATAAACGTTGCTAGTAGGATAGGTAAGGTACCAAGTGCTATCAGAGGAGCCTCCAACCATAATAACAAAGGAGTATGATTCAAGATTAGTGAAGCACATGCTACGACCACTGGCAACTACAAAAGATAAGGTGGGCGACCATGCAGAATTTCACTTACCATGCGTAATATTGGCAATGAGAGAAGAAACAAGGTAACTACAGGCCAGTAGAACTCTATCAGGCCACAAAAGTAACCCAATAAATGGTAAAATGATGAAAGACGTTTTAGGTAGCCTTGGAAGACAGAGCTCTTAACCATAAATGTTTTTAATTTTCTATTTTGAAAACTTTCAATTTATTGTTATTTAGCATAATTGTTAAACCATTTAATCCTTTTTCATTTACCTGTATATTTGTATTTTATTTAACCTAGTGTAAAGGATTTATTTATTGTACTTTTTCTTAAATGGCTCATTTATTGTAATTTTAATTTTAAAGAGCTTATATTTCTGTTTTGTTTTATCTTATTTGTTTAGTTAGTGGTTTGGGCTAGTAAAGAAGGTATGTTGTATTTTGAGTTGTGTATGCACAAGGTTCATCTCGTGCATTAACAAGTTGTGTATTCTATTTTGTTCCATGATCTTCATGTCCAGCCTGACTGAAGGTTGAAATTTTCATGAGGTTTTCCATTTTGGATTTTAATTTTTTAAGTATGAGTTAAAGCAAAATTAATATCAGCTTGAGGACAAGCCTAAGATAAGGGAGAGGAAGACTGTAGTACGCAAATACTACACACTTTCTCTCCTATGTTATGTATTTCTTATATACAAAATTCTGATTTTTTTCTTATTTCTCTGTTGAGATTATGTGCAAAATTCAGCCTGAAGTGTTACTTGTAACTTGACCAGTTGCATTGTGTCCTGATTGATCTTCTGTTTGGGTGATCTTTATGACTATCTCGTGGAGCAGAGATACTTCCAAATTCTTGCAAACTTATTTGTGATTGATTAGATACAAAAATATTGTATATTGTGAATGCATTCTTGACGGCTTCAAATTCTATTTGCTTCAACGTTTGAGTTCTAATGTTAGCACAATCCAAGTTTTCTCTTTGTTTCTCCAACAATAAAGTGTTTTGTTTCGTTTCAATTTCACATCTTGTCTGGTCTTCTTCTTTTCACCTTCAACAAATTACTCCACCTGTCTTTTTGCATATTAGATCCACAGATCCTTTTAATACGTTGGTAAAGAATTTTTGTGGTGTCGGAAGGGAGGGAATGCAGCTAGTCAATACACCCACTGCCAATTTTGGTTACTCCTTTACCGAATTCACCGTTATATTATAAAGCCACCCCACGGTAGAAAGGCCGAGCATGTTTGGTAACGGATTGCGAGTTGAGCGCCCTAACCACTGGACCAGGGGTCACCAAACTACGGCCCGCCACTGCACTGTGCCACAAATGAGCTAAAATATAATTATTTATATGGAAATATCATAGATTGTAGATAAACTTACTGTGTAGAAAAAATTAAAATAAGTGTAAGTAAAAATGTCCAAATTTGTCCAATCTGATTTTTGCATCTGACAGTAATATAAGTTTAAGAAAATCACTGAAATTCGGCAACTTTTTGCGACTTTGGATATCAGAGCGCTTTTTGTGAACGTACATGCAATGACAGT